CCCCCCGCACCCTACCTGGCTCCCTACTTGCAGGTGTGCACGTCGTAAATGCGGACGCACTCCTGGCAGCTCACGTAGCAGCACCAGTGGAAGACGCAGTGGCACTTCTCCTTCCGCTTCTCCGTCCTCGTGTTGTGGCCGCGGCCGCAGCACAGCAGGTCACAGCCGTCGATGCCGTGGGAGGTGACATTGCAAGTCCGGTCCCTGGTGCCGAAGGAGCCCGTCTCCGGGTTGGGCTCGCAGAAGTTGGGGGAGTTCTCGTAGTAGACCAGGTCCCGCTCGGTGGGCGGCTTGAAGAGCGCGTACTTGGCCCGCAGCGTCTCCACCCAGCCGCGGGACTCCCGGTGCTTCTCCACCACCATCTCCGAGGCGCTGTCGTACTTGTCCTTGAGGAAGTCGCCGATGGCGCGGAAGTCGGGCTGCGCCCACCAGCAGGTCTTCACCTCGCAGCTGCCCGACAGCCCGTGGCACTTGCATTTGAGGTGCATGTGATCCAGGATGGTCTGGGGAAGAGGGGCAGCAGCTGACCCCACCTGGGCCCGCCCACTTGCCCCCCATCCCTGGAGCGTCCTCCACTTCTCCTCCTGGCCAGGGAGGAACAGAGAGGGGACGGGGGCACCTACAGATGGTGACACTTTTGCTACCACTCACATCCCCAGCGCTGGCAGAAATGACACCCACGTGTCAGGGCCCGAGGAGACGGGGGCGTGGGCCCCCACTTAACAGATGGGGCACTGGGGCTGGAAGGCTGGCGATCTGCTTTGACAACACAACCGTAGCTGGGCTGGAGGATGGTGGCGCCACCGACTTGGCCCACACAGAGGCAGCCCGACTTGGCCCACACAGAGACCCCCACGGGCGGGCCTGCTCCAGGGCGGCCTCGCTTCCCGGCTGACTCCCCTGGGAGAAAGGCAGGGGACAATCAAGGAGAAAGGACGGTCAACAGAAGAGGTGACCGGGGGTGTAGGTGAGGGCCGAGCCCAGCCAGAGGGGAGGAGAAGAGGATGCCGAGGGCCAGGGCCCACTGGGCAGCAACAGGAGGCTGCCGGGCCCGCGGCAGGGAGGCCAGGGCGGGCGGCTCACCGTGCGGCCAGCCTCGTTGTTGTGCTTGTTCATGGCCGAGCGCGCGTCTGGTCTGTTCTCACGCGCATCCGCGAACTCCCGGGACACAAGCACCCCGAAGTCAGCGTCCTCGCTGCAGCCGCCCCACTTCCAGCCTTCGCCCGGCGGCCCCTTATGATGGGAGTCACAGCCACAGATGGTGGAGGTGCCCTCGGCGCAGGAGCGTGTGACCGCGAAGGCCACGCCGGCCGAGGCGATGGCGTGCACGAAGGCCGACTCGCGCGTGGCTGTGGAGAGGGCGCGGGAGACACTGCTCAGGCCAGGGCCGGGCCAGGCCGCCCGCCCCGCCTGCCCAGCGCGGGTCAGCTGGGGAAAGGAAAGAGCTGAGGGCTGTCAGCCGAGGTATGAGGGAGAAATCGAGGTCCCTGGTAGGTCTCCCCACTTTATGGATAAGCAAACTGAGGCCCGGGTTAGTTGGTTAATGGTTTAACCCAGGGCCTCGGAACGTGGTCCAGGGTAACATGGAGCCTGTTAGAAATGAGTGCAACCATCATCTGGCAGGACTCCCAAGTGGGGATTGGAGGGTCTGCCCCGGGGACCCCTGCCCCCGCCCCCTCCAACTCCACAGGTGGACTCCAGCAGAGGCCTGGGCCTTCCAGCTCCTGAGAGAGCCACAGTCCTGGGGAGGGGACTGGGAACCTAAAGCCAACCCTCGCCCACCCCTTCCCCCCAGGGAGGTGCCCAGGCCCTTTGCTGGGCCTCGCTTTGGCAATAAAATGGCTAAAATTTCCTTCCGCTGCGAGGGCCCCACTCGGTCCGGGAAGGCCCCCGCCCGGGACTCCCCCTTCCCATCCTTCACCCAAATAAAACTGCACCCTTCTTGGGAGAACGACAGACAGGGCAGCTCCCCTGTTCTGTTTCAGGGTCCCCGCAGGAAAAGACGCGGCTCATGGGTGGCCCCCTGCCCCATTACAATGAAAGCCCCTTCTGAGCAGTTGGTATTCACAGATCCTGCCCTTGTGTGCTTGATCCCATTTAATCCTCTTAACCCTGTGAGGCAGAAAGCCGCCTCTGGGCCCATTTTACAGATACAGACACCGGCGACTGGACAGGACAGGCCTGGAGGCCGGCAGCGGCCCACCCGCCTGCCCCGAGACAAGCCGGC